GCACCGTAGTCACATTCAGCTGCCTGTGTCTGCAACTGCAATAGGAAATCGCGAACCGACTGAGAATGAGAGCGGGTCAACATAGTGAACCTAGCTCTTTCGGCTGCTACGAAGTTAATCGGCTTGAAGTGTTGAAGAACTTTCTTCTTCAATGTAGTGTAATAAATATCGATTGAAGATTAAGGATATACTAAATTTTTGATCAAAGTATACGCCTCCTTGCCAACGAAATGTAGGAAATATGCCGTGAGTTTCTTATCATCCATATCGGATTTTGTGAGGCACCACATGTCGAACCGTTCCAAATAATCCTCTACGTCACGCACAGTTGAATTAACATCTAATGGTTCTATTTCGGCAGGCATGATGAATTATTCCAATCGCGACGCCAAAATGTGAGAATTAACTTTCGTACATATATCGGTATAACCAGACGAACTAGGAATTCAGCATTCACACCGAGGTAGCAAGTAGCACGTATGTATTCGAATTGGCGTATATTTACAGCATATGGAATATTAAAACAATAATATAATGAATAGAGCAAAGAATAGAGTATCAGTCATGTTCATCACAGAGACTTCAAGATGGAGGTCACACACAAGACACACATCTTGGACAGAGTATCAGTCATGTTCATCACAGAGACTTCAAGATGGAGGTCACACACAAGACACACCCAGTATCTTGGACAAGTTAGATCATGCCTCCTGGAGGTGGGGCACAAAAAAATCCAAATCGTTGTTGGACTGACTAGAGAATTCCATCATTTGAGGAACAAAAACACTCACAGACACTTTTCAACCTCGAGGTTTTGATCAATTTAATCACTGAATGATGAATGAGTGGGAACAATCAACAATCATACTTACTTCGTCCGGGAGCGATGGATATTCACTCTGTATCAATTGGTGTATCTGTGATGGATGTTAGGGCTGTTGTAAACAAAGAGTTAAGATCAAACTTCCATTGGTGGCTCAAGTCATTCTCGAAAGAGGGCTCACGGGACAATTATTTTATCAGCTGATATGATGGGTTGCTGCCCTACACTTGTACGTACGCACTGTTTTGCCACACCTGTGCCAGGTAGACGTAACACTAGATGTCTGTCAGCGTCACTGGGAAACCCGTCATGTGACATCCGCAGCGAACCACACGTTTGTGTAGTCCCGACACCCTGTGGCTATCGGGTTCAATTAACGAGGCGGTGATGGGACTCGGGTAATTTTGAACAGGGACCCAAATAACTGTTATGTAGTCGAAAAGACGAACGTCATTGGACGGGTTTCAAAGTCGCGACCTCCCTTCTGCTAAATGAACTGTCGTTCCAACGTCCCAATAATAGCAGAGTTTCAAAAACCATCCCATGGGGTCCATAATGAATTGGAAAACATGGCCCATTCACGTTTCGTTTCATATTCATCATTGTTATTTGCATGCATTTGATCAAGATCACGTGATGGTTCTCAATTCCTGTTGGAAATTTCCAAATGTACGCCACTCTTCGTTTCTCTCCACTCAGAAGCTCATGGGCCAATAGTTCTGGCCGTTTTAAATCGATAATAACTCATGTGACAAACTCTGAAACGTTCGTTATTCACTGATGGTACGGCCACTTGATGGGGTCAAACCTCTATGTCGAAGCACCAATAATCCTTTCTTTTCCATCGCTTTTCAACCTACGATTCTTTCGTTATCACAAAAAGTTTTGACCTTTTGTTTGACCTTTCGTTTTTCTAACCACGTGACCGTTTTCATACCGTTAACTTCTCTTCAGCCGTGATGCTGAGAACGAGGAAGCCGAAAAGGCAGCGGTGCAAGAGCTCGATTTTGATGAACCTTTTCTGTTCAGTGATGCCATCTTGATCGTCGAAGGTCGGCAAATTCATTGCCATCGAGCAATCTTGTCCATATATTCTCCAGTCTTCAAGGCCATGTTTCGGAACAGATGCCTCGTGAGTTTGCAAAATGTTTTCCGTTCGATTATAGGATGCGAGTGATCCGTTTTGTTTAGCACTACTTTGCATATCATAGGATTTGAGCATGAGAGCTATCGAACCATGTCATCAGTTCATTGATCTATCACAATCTGATCAGTAGCAGCTGCACACACACACACACACTGGTACAAATAGGGCGTACCTACATGGTCACTTACGGCGAGTGAATTTCCCCTTGTCAGTTGTATCCGAGACTTCGAGATTGAATTAATAAATCTACCAAAGTATGGCTCACGTGGTAGTCGGCGCTGTGATTCATGAGCGTGTTGGGAAAAAACCGCTATTATTCCAGCAGCTGAACCAACTGCCGTCCGTTATGCTCACATATCATGCTTTCGACACACCATCTAACTCTCGTATCATAGCAGTATGATCAACTATTGTCAGTTCAACTGAGCATCACTCACGACTTGATGCTCACCCAGCCTTTCGTGCGGATCGGATGGACCTCGATCAACGTCCGGCTACATGGTCAAATTGAATTTATCGGACGCATTAGTGCGACCGAAATATTCAGGAGGGTCTCCAAGATGTAGTGTCGTTGTAGAAACACAATATATACAACACAATATATATATATTGCTTAAATATCCCCATGGTTTGAAAAAGAACACAGTGACGAACATTAATTTTTTCGGGATCTCGTCATCAGGTCAGTACATATCTAATCGTTAAAACAGGAGCGAAAAATGAAATATGCTGCGAAGATTGGTTTGTGAACAATTGGTTGCCTGCGCCCCCCATGTCATATCTAGTTGGATGCTGTGAGACAATCTAGAGGGCTGTTGAGTGACCTGGCCAGTTGATTCGTGTCACACGACCAAGGCGGACTCAACGTTCGTACGAAGCGTTTTTGACAGCACAGTATCGGATTTTGCAGGCGTATAGCGACTGCCTCGGCTGTAGTCATGCATCACCGTTGAATAGATACTGGCAGTCTTTTTGGCACGCGGTAAATGATTTGAAATGACTCATTTGGCATGACTGCGTGCCCGATGTCAATCAGGTGGGATGCGATTGAGCTCCTGGCTGAACGGTTGAGGTTAGTGGTTTTCCGGTAGGAGAGGTGCTCGCGTATATTCTCTTAGAAAGTTGCCGTGTCGTGCGCCCAACGCACTCCGCTGAACATATATATGTATACGTATATACAGAATGCCTTGTCTGTTGAGTTACGTTGATGAGCCCTGAGTGCACCAACTGAGTATTTCACATCGCAGACGTTATCTTTACATGGTCCTCAGCCCCCAGGTTGCCTTCTCGGATCACCCATTTGACGAAATCTGCTGTCCCGCTTGGTAACTGAATAAACTGGTGATTTTCCAGTTTCTAGATGCCATGGACCTTTCATTTTGTAGCTCCCAGGTGTTAATACCAACCGACCGCTACTCTGTCGAATCGAATATCGCTGCAGCGTGAAGGTGCTGATGCTACGAACTCCAGGAGCACTCATTTCAGCAGCAAAATGAGCCATCCACACGAGAAATCGAAGCTCCTTTAGCATCTTTGCTCGGGGGTAGTCAAATGGTCTTTACAGGCGATTTGATGGACTGGGGTTAAGCGGCCAAGCTCATCACAACCATTTTGCTGCCATTTTCGAATCACACCATAAAAACGTAGACAACGAAGGCCTATTCAATGCAGAAATGGATGAACGGGCAACTAGATTCTTGCAACCGACTTACGCCCGCAATATAGGCGACCGAAAAGAAGTCTGTGGATCCAATGGACAGCCGGGCTCCGTGTGACCTTGCTTCGGGGAGTCTTGTGTGAGTTGGTTGAGGTGGGATAATCGCGGTGGTCGTCCGGACTTTGGTCAAGCGAGTGGGGTCTCGGAACCCTTCAAAGACAATTCGCTCGTTTCAGTAGGCATGAGTTGACCACTGATAGCACGGTGAGCAGCTGGCACCCAATGTTATGCCATGTTGTTTGGGCCAACCGAAGGCTTGTAGCAGGCTCGTTCACTCTCGTCCCCTCAGTTCTCAAGCGGTGCCAAAGGCTTGACTGAAGCACCATATATTAAGCTCAGCTTAAACCGCCTGTTCCTTCTCTGCTATGCGCATACATCCAGTGCTGTTTGGCGTTGGAACATCTCTCGACCAGTAAGCCATCGTTATGCCCTCAGAGAAGTCTTTGTACCACTGTTCGTATCATGTCCAACTGTGTTTTAAACTCCCGCATCAATCTCTCTTCCCACCGGCCCGTGGGCTCCACTACTCGTGTTCACTGCAAGTGATCCGTGTTGTAAAGCGAGCAGTCTGGGCGACAAGATTAGCGTTGTTTCTGACGTTGTGAAACTGAGCTACGAACATAGGTTGACCCTCAGGTGCACTCTATACAGGTCGTACGTGTTCTGCCCTTTAGAGCCCTTTAGACATGGCTGGTACGATTCCATGTCAATATTTCAATGTCTTCACCATCGCTATTCTAGCTAAATGCATTTCATATTGTATCCATAGTACCCTCGGATCCTTACTGCAGGAAGTATGAAGCCACTTAGCTCCACGTGCCTGTTTGTCATATATTGATCGTATACTAAGAAATCAATGGGTGAACGCTTCCGGCAAACCTCACTGTTTGTCTGTTGCCACTACCACTAGACTAGCGTCACCACCCGGTGGATCGGTGATTGGTTTTTTTGTCATCCGAGCTTTTCAGGCGCATCCACCCACGCTAGGCTTACGGCTGTGATCGATAACCCTAACATAACCACAGAGGTGTGAATAATCCACCCGCTCACACCTACCCGCACTTCTGTTCTCAGATAAGAGAGAATTCCGATGATCTGAAGCGACCTGTGTGCAGTCTGTTTTATTCACGACACCATATACTACTGAATGATAAGACGTTGAATTGAAAACTAAGTTCCACGGCCAGAGGCAGTTACTCTGCCTCTGATTATCAGGCTTCCTTCCCGTCTTATCAGTTCTAACCCTGACTTGTTAGACAGAGTGAGGAAACCCGGCAAGATGAACAGAACCAACTTGAGGCTGGTTCCAGGACTGATGACTTATCAGACGGGTGAATTTTATTCTTCCTCTATATGGATTGTTATTAGTATAGGGAGACGTACTACACTACTCATAAGGTTGCTGAAAATTCTTCGACAGCCCACAACCGGTTTCGTTTTTCTTGAGGCTCATCAGGTAGGCGCAGTCCCCGGGTTTCCGTCAACCTTGTGTTCTGATTGAACACAAATCGCGCGAAATTAGCGAAATACATGAGAACTTTTATCCCACTAGCTTCCCGGCCTCATTGACAGGACGAGATCTCTACTACTCAATGTTTTATTGTAGTAGTATGTTCACTTACCACCATACGAAAACCTTATCAATGTCAAGCAATTCTCAGAAGTAATTTTCAAGCATGAATCCGGGGATGGATTGAGTGTCAATCGTTCAACAAAAGAGCTTCAGAGCACTTCACCATAGCTGCCTGCTCCGTACGTCTAACATGAACGTAGTGCACTGGGTGCACTCCAGAGCGGATTCTGAGCTGTGATCATTCCCGGATGCTTTCTCCTTTATCTGGGTTACGAGTCGGAATCAGTTACTTCCTACTGGGAGCACTGTCACGAACAGTAAAGTAAAACATAAGGTTGACGGAAACTCGGGGACTGCGCCACCAGATGAGCCCCAAGAAGGGCGAAACCGGTCGTGGGCTGTCGAAGAGTTTTCAGCAACCTTGTGAGCAGTTTGCTTTATGAAAAAAAAAAACGCTTGTTTCACCCGTCCACTCATTAATCAAACGTCAATTCGTCTGTTCCCCTATACCTAAACAGGGTAAACGTTTTCGTACTTTGGGATGCCCGTGACCATATTACTGCGGTTAGAGTAGGCGAGTTTCGGGTTTGCCGCCGTCAGCCACCGTGACACCGAACTAAGGTTCCCGCGGTAGAGTCTTGGTCAGTGCGCTGTTTCTGCTTCAAAGAAGGACGGAAAAACAATGTAGTTTCAAACGAAATAAGATGCGACTCAGAAATTCGAGTCAGAAGGAATGAACATTTGACGATATCTCAAAGAGAACTGGTTAACTATGGAGATTCAAACGCAGGATCCCGGATCTTGACTCAGCCGGTAAAATATTTGGTCTGATCCTCTGTCACACATACTGCTCCCATATTTCTATGGATCTGTGCTAGTAACCATGGGAAGCAGTGTTCTATGTGATGGGGGGCTGTAATATGAAGTATACACGATATGGATAAACATTCTTTCGTAAACTGAGATGGTATTGACGGCAGACTTATATGTGATTCATTTGAGTCGCTAGCTAACACGTTGCTTCTGAGCTATAAGCGAGCACTTTTGTCAGGACGCGTTCAGGCATGGAAAAAGTACATGTGCAGAGAGTGACGCATCCCCAAGGTCACCATCGGTACGACACCTTCGGAAAGCAGGTGGCGTTGGCGGAGCCTACCAAGCACGGCTTAGCAACATACGACCAGTGTAGTGGGCCTGAAGGTGTTCACGATCAGAACACCGCCATTGGCTGTACGGAACGAACAAGTGAACGACCATAGTTGGCCCTGTAGTCATCCTATATATTTACGTTTAAGCTCTGTGTGTTTCGTCCTGACAGTAAAGCCGTGTCCCGAGTTCTCTGTCTTCTTATCACGTAGTCCGGTAGGCTCAGAGCAGGCGTAACCAATGGACGGTCATCCACGATACAACTTTCCTGCAGAGACTTCCACTGTGTTGCCCGGTGCGAAGGGGGGCACATCGAAATCCGAGGTCTAGGCCTAGCTGATGAGCCCGAAAAGGAACGAAACTGGTGGTGCACTGTCCGGGAGTTTCCATCAGCCTTTTTTTTAGTAACGACGTTTCAGGGCTGTGTGAAACAAGAGAGTCAGCTTGGTTCCAGCTGAGTCTCTTTTGTCAAAACCAAATTAGCATGCAAATGGGTGTATTTCGCTAATTTCGTGCAACTTCGGTTCAAGCAGAACATAAAGTAAACAGAAACTCGGGGAGTGCGCCTACCTAATGAACCCCAAGAAGGGTGGAACGAGAGATTCAGTTGAGTCTCTCGTAAAAATCAAATTGATTTGCAAATGAGTGTATTTCTTGAAAAAAAAGTCCAATTTGGGTTGAAGTAGAACATAAGGTTGACGGAAACTCGGGGACTGTGCCTACCTGATGAGCCCCAAGAAGGGTGAAACCGATCGTGGGCTTTCGAAGAGTTTTCATCAACCTTGTGAGTAGTCCTCTTCACGAAAATATACTGCAATATCTCGAATATCGTGCCAACTGAATCATGAGGCGACCTGTGTGCAGCACATTCAGTTATAGAATATCATAAACGAGAGATTCAGTTGAGTCTCTCGTGAAAACCAAACTGATTTGCAAATGTGAGTGTATTTCTTGAGAAAAGACTGCTTTCGTTCTAAACTGTTCAAGCAGTCTGAATTACTGGGATTTTTGAACCTGTTAGAGACCCCCGTCTTTTTTTCAAATCTCTTCTTAATTATGTCCACCGATAGCTATCTCAGTGTCTGACACAGCGTCCATTTTTGTCATGTCTACATTCAAAACCTGTTATTCTCGCAAACTCATTAGATCATTCCAGTAATTTGTAATTTACTAACAGGTCTGTTTGTTTCGTTCACTGTGAAGTCTATTCCCGATCGATACGATCAGTGTTTTTGTTCATCAAACTGATGATCCGCACAGTCCATCGGTCTGCTTTTTTCGCAGAGTTCACAATATTAACCCAGAAAACACCCAAGTTATATTGAACTGTGATGCGTACTCGGGGAATGCTCAATCGAATGCGTGTGTGTCAAATACTTTCAGCTCTGGTGAGAATGAAGCACTTCAATTTTTTGTGTGTTAGTTGAACCTTACTTCTCACTCATGCGCGTACCATTCACCATCATCTATCTCAAAATCACACACTCATCAAGAGCCTAAGTTAGTTAATCGATATCTGGTGTCCACCGGCAACAAACAAACGTGTATCACAGGCAATCTTTTCTTGTTACGCGTCTGCGCGTTGCTCTTCGCCACTGGAAAATAGCGATCAGTTCAGTGGAACTACATCAAGGTGAATGATTCGACAGACGGTGGTGCACATGTGAAAAAGACACGATCAATCAATGAGTATTGAGCTAGTTTTGTTCAGCTCAAGGTTTGAAAAGATTAGAGATACCTTACCATGATTGGTTGATGGGTCTACTCGCGTCTGTTTCTGATCTGGTTACGTATGTGCGCCAAGTTGGATATTTAATGGTCCTTGTGGGCATATCTGTTTTCAAATGCATTGTTTTTTTTGTCTCCTAAACGTTATAAACAACCTTTTGATGAAGAAACAGAACAAAACAGTCGTGGTGTACCCTTGGTATGACAACGCTTGTGCAAACTCTTCAGTATGCTGAACGTCTGTCCACCGCAAACACGATAAGGGCAGCCCAACCGACCAAAAACTAGCATACACCGAAGATTCTGGAGAGTCCTAATTGAGTTCCCATCAAGTCCTTCCTTATTTGCTTCGGTTATTGAATAATGCACGACAGCTACACCAATGGTTCACAGACGGTACTCGTAACCTATTGGTGAATGGCGACGTATGCCTTGAGACTTGGATGAAAAAGAATACGAAAGAGTGAATTACGAGCCAATGGCAAATGAGTGAAACAGTAAGTTGGGTCAAATATCCAACAGAAATCAGTGACTGAGTGAGCCCCAGGGTCGTGAGTTGTCGGAGAGGCTTCAGCAACCTTATGAGTAGTGTGTTACGTTTATGGGCTGGTTAGTTTTGGAAATCGAACAAGGCATCACCAGACTACAAGCATCATCACAGCAATACTGGGTGGTATTTTGTTCTATGAGTGATTCGCTTTCAGTGTCTGGCCAACGTTCTGGTTGATAGGCACTGCCGGGATTAGCGTTAGTGTTATACCTTCACTGAGAACTGTAGCCTTCGAAGCTCCGATGAATGATTTAAGGCATCTCTTCGTGTAAACAGCCATCCATTAAAAGCTGATCGTGTAGGGCGCATGACAGATTTAACGAGTAATCCATATTTGTTGAAAAAACTAAAAGAGTCAACAATTATCACACTCTTCTTTGGTTCCGTTAGTGCTCTGCATGTTCCTCGTTTTTCGCTAATGCGTTTGGTCACGTGCACTTCACTAAACTTATCAAATTTTGCCACCAGTTACCTTGTAAGTGGTTACAAAATGAGTGAAACTACAAGTAGGAAGTACGTGCATGTTCTTCGAAAAACTTATGCTTGTTCGGATTCTTAAGTGAGGATACGCGAGAAACCTGGGAGCATGTCAAGAAGTCAAGTTTGAAAACAAGCGGAAATCTCATGCTGCCGAAGATTAATGGGTGATTGTCGCGAAAACCGGCGCCCATGAACATGGTGGATTTATCTGTCAGGAAGAAGCAATCTTTTCATAAAGGAAACTACTCACAAGGTTGCTGAAAATCGGTCGACAGCCAACGACCGGTTTCGCCCTTCTTGAGGCTCATCAGGTAGGCGCCGTCCCCGAGTTTCCGTCAAACTTATGATCTACTTGAACCCAAATTGGGCTGTTTTCGGGAAATACACTCATTTGCAAATCAATTTGGTTTTCACGGGAGACTCAATTGAATCTCTGGTTTATGATGTTCTCCAGCTGAATGTGCTGCACACAGGCCGCCCCAGGATTCAGTTGG